TTTGCTTTATTTGTAATCTGGATCTGGATATGCTATCTATGCTAATATTAAAAACATGCATTATGATGGCAATGGTGTGATTTAAAATATGCATGTACTATCCCAGGTCAGCAGCGCTAAACATTTAAAAGTCAGTCATGAATATTCCCGAGTTCCGTGCATGGAATTTACTTTATTTGTAATCTGCATATATGATATCCATCGTTATAAAAAAACGCAGTTTTTAGTAATGTATACTGATACGTTAGTTGTTCCATCACTATTTTACTTACAAAATACATGTAAACAAAAGATTGATATGAAAGAAGTTACCATACAATTATTTTTATTCGAAGAAACTGAAAATACAGGAAACCCATTAATAATGCTTTCTGTACCTATTACAAACCTAAATTTTATTGATTCAGTATCGGTATGTAGATTTCTATGAACAGAGAGATCTTCAAATACCAAGAAATGTGATAAAAAGTTAATGTCTTCGATAGCGCATAAAGGTATAAGTAATTAAAGCATTAGTGCATATTTTGGAAGATGCCTTTGATACTACAGTAAATCATCTTTTGATTTTAATGTTTTATTTAGCTGCTATCGACGAAGAAATAGCAAATAACTGATGAAAATAAACAAAAATTTAAATATATCCGTATCATGATGAAGAAATTATAAAAAGTAATGAAATTCTACAAATTTATCCTTTATCTTTTATTACCTATTTTACAGTACATTACATTAAACCGACAAAAATATTCTGACGTGACTACAGGTGAGAATATAGCACGTGCAATGTATTTAAAATTTTATTGAGAACGGTAATCCGAATGTAAAAGATTTTCATAATGCTCTTGACAGGTATTTGCATTATAAGGAAAATAAAATATAATATAGCACAGCATATATCTGAAATTAATTATATTAATGGGATCGGAACACAAAAAGAAGCAAAACCATCAGCAGAAAATAAAGATGCAAAATAAAGTTGGTTATCATTATCACAATGGGATAAGAACACAGAAAGATGAAGTAAAAGCATTTGAAAACAGCGGAAAATGGAAACAATCTAGAACAATCATTTTTCAGTAATTGCTATCAAGAAAGAATAGGAACACAAAAAGATGAATTAAAAGCATTTGAATGGTATTTGAAATCAGCAGAAAATGAAAACGCCATAGGACAAAATGATCTCGGTTATTATTATCAATATGCTATTGGAACACAGAAAGATGAAGTAAAAGCATTTGAGTGGTATGTGAAATCAGCAGAAAATGTTGATAATATGGTCAATTTCAAGCGGGCCAGTGTTATGAAAATGACATTAGTACTCGAAAAAATAAAAAAAAGTATTTGATTGGTATTCTCTTTCGGGCAAATAATAAAAATGTCAATGCTTATAATTCAGTTGGTTAATATTATTTGTCTGGTATAGGAACTTTCAAGGATGAATTGAAGACTTTTAAATGGGCTGTAAAATTAACAGAAAGCGGAAATTTTAATAGGATATTATAATCTTGTTATTTGTTATGAACACGGTTACAGAACCAAAAGGAATGAAGATAAAGCTTTGAGATGTATTCTAAAGCAGTAGAAATGAGACATAGTAATGGACAATATAGACTTGATATTCATTATTATTTTGGCTATGGAACCGTAAAAGATACAAACAAGGTATTTGTATACTTTCAAAAATCTACTGAATCTGGAGAAAGCACAGCTTTTAATTATCTAGCTAAATGCTATTTTTTTGAGACGGCACCAAAATGAATGAGCATAAAGCATTTGACTGCTATTTACGCTCTGCAGAAATAGGCAATAAAGATGGGCAGTTCAAAGTGGCAGAGTGTTATCAATACGGAATTGATATTTCAAAAAATGTTGACATGGCTTTAAAATGATATGAAAAAGCCAGGAAAAGCGGCCACGATAGAGCAGGAAATATCATTGAGAATTATTTATATTCTCACAATAATTTATATTTTTAGAGTGATTCTTAATAATCAGAAACATTATCTATTTGCAGGCAAAACTTTTTCTTTAATTTCATAGCTTTGCTTATAACCTTTTTGTAGTTAGCAGTAGTCATAAAAGTAATTTTCTCATCTAAATATTTTCTTGTATCCCTTTTTCTATATTACCACTTTCAAAGGATACAACTTAAATTCTTTAGCAGAAGTTGTTAAATTCTTAGGATTCTATAATTAATAGCGAATAACTTAATAGAAAAAAATTCTTTCATATGTATAATACTAGAGTTCGAATACTTCTATTGTTATTCTTGTAACCTTAACTACGAAAATAATATACATGTAATTGCGTGTATCCCTATCATTAAACAATTAAACTTCCTACAAAATTCTTACCTTGTAACATCAACATTAATGGAACTTCGAAAAATTCTTAATTTGTGGTGTCAACTTCTCCAATAACATTAATTTCTTACAAACGTTCCTATTTTACGCTTCCATGAATGTGATTAAATATTCATATCGTACGTTATTCCCTTGATCCATCAGAATTCCTATTAAGTTCACATTTTGTGATATGCATTATAAATTTATTTTATTCTTTTAATAATTACAATTAATTCTATTATTATTCTTTGCAACGAAGCATAGTATCCCATCTTGCAAAAATTCTTATGAAAATTCTTATGAAATTCTTATGAAAATTCTTAGGAAAATTCTTAGGAATTCATGTAGCTTATAATTTGTAAAATAGATAGTTAATTAGTGATAAATGAATATTAAAAGGCAGCTCGCGAAAGTTTGAGGGACAAGTCAATGTGTGGTTTGAAGAAAAATTATTTTTAATTTTTATTAACAGCGCATAAATAAAATTTATATTTAATATTTACTTAACAGCGCTTCAGCCTTTATTCCTTTTGTGTCTTGATAAAATCATTAGCTTTGTTTCTTTTGTGCTTACAAAGAAAGCTTTACTAATTTGGTCATACAAAGTTGATGAATCGTGTTTGATTCTTTAATCACGTTTGTTTCTTTGATTTAATTATTAGACTTTAATTCTTTTTGTTGACTCTATATTATTGTTTCAGAATAAACCTATTTTTGTGATTGAAGAGATATTATTTGAGCCTGTTAATAAAATTAGTATAGTTACTTTTGTTATTTGAATTGAAGCTATATTTTGTTCTTCTGAATATGTGTGTCAATATTTCTTGTACAACAATATTTTTCATAAAAATTTTCCGTATTTTAGTCCGCTTTAAAAAACATAGTACCCCATTAGTCTCTGTGAGGGTACATGTATTCGAATTTCTCATTTTTCTGTGTTCCGTCTGAACCGCATATATCCAAAATTATTTTAAAAGTTAATTCGAAGCTGAATCAAACACCCATGACATAATTATTATTTTTGTCATATAAATGGGGTATTTAATCATTGATGAATTTATAAAGTGAAACAAAAGTAGATGCATCTTGCAAACGGAGGTTGAGTAAAACGATCTGGTAATTATTAAAGTGGGATCAGAAGACAACTTTATGAACATTACGTTGAGATCATTACAAATTCAAAATAAATTAGAAATGAACTTTTCCTATTGCGAATGCAAAATACAAACATATTTCTGAAAATCGATAAACCTGCTATAAAATTTTACAATTCTATGATTGTTCAAAAATTACACATGTGCGTTATTTCAAAAAATAGCTAATTTTCCGACCGGATATTTTCAAAATCAGTCAGCTATTACTTTCAATATTAGATTCATAAATTCCCCTTTTTTCATTTTATTTATAGCATATGCCTTTGAATAACGAATATTTATTGTACAACTTTCGTATTATATATGCTACCATATTTGCAACGAAAACAATTATAATTTAATCGGATTATTGAAATCAAATTCTATTTCTGCAAATAAAAAAAATTAATTGCAATGTGTACACATGACGTAAATCCACTGCTATATGTGTGTGCGTTATTTCGGGACGCAATATGTGTTATTTTGAAAAAGATAATTTTTAAAAGGTGCGGATAACGCACATGCCCGTTATTTCGCGAGGCTACGATAGTTCGAGAACTTTCGAATTAAATTCGGGAGACATAATCTTCGTTTTTGAACTCCAAAATAAATTATACTCATGCACAACATACATGTATGCTGCATGAATGCAAAAACTCGTGCTTAGTCCCGAGAGTTTTGTACATGTACATTTATTACAGGGTGCTGACAATGTTGGATAAAACGAAGCAAGAAACAAATTAAATGTAACTTGTTGCTATAGAATTATCAACCTTCGAGCATAACGATAGCAATTAGAGGGAATATAATTTTGTGATTATTCGACTGTATTTGTAGATAACATAAAAATTTAATTAAAAACCCAAATACAGTAAAAATTCTGAATGCAACCTCTATAAATGCAAGATATGACTTGGTCCCACGCTTATAAAATTTGCACCTTGTAAATGCAAATTTCCCTAAATGTAAGTTCTGTCTTTTGTTGATAGAGATGTATCACCGTACACGTATTAACCAATTAAAATGATATCGTTATATAGTACAGTTCATGTAAATGTATAAAGAGAAATTAAACGATTATTCTACAATACAAATAAAAGATAGAATCCTGTTAAGAGATCACGTCCCAAAGGATTATATGCTACAACAGTGACACCATGTTTATGACAAGCCTATAAAATTCCGTTTATATTAACTCTGAATAATAATAATTTTATTAGTACATGTATATCCAACTAAATATGGATTATATCAATGCACATGTATTGTTACCAGCTATTAGCACTAACCCAGAATATTTTGCCTTTCTCTCTTTAATAAAGTTCTGTCATCGCCGCGACTGTTTCTTCAATTGGCCTATTATTATTAGAAAGTGTTGATGGTCAATTTCTGATAAACACAAGATTGAGATCAATACTAATACATACACATTGGGTCCACACGATGTTGATAATAAAGGTCGATTGATCTATTCCTAATCGTTTTAAACTCTTTTCACATGCTTCGGTACGTATTCTAGAGTTCATTTACGCCTAAAAAATGCTCCATTTGGATCGCGTACATTACCAAATTTCGTGGCAATCAATAAGTCTTTTCGATGTTCTTTGAGGATTTTGCTTAAAAGTTCCTATACACAAATAGAAAATAACTCAAAAAATTTATTACTATAAGATAAGAACGAACAAATATAATTCATTTTGGCCAATTTCATAGATCGAAATAGTACCTAATTTGATGGCGCGTTTCAATACTTTCAAACTTTGCTCATCCGCTGCGTCATAGAATTCACTCATTCCCTTTTTTTAAAGAGGATACAAATTTATAATTCAACAATTTTTGAGTATTAAGAGGATTGTTACACATACTATACATTCTAGGTATTTTTACCAAGATTGCTAAGAAGAATTGATAAAAGCATTGATTTTTTCTTTTTTTTATAATTTATAATATATACCGAACAGTTTATTTCTTAAACTTAATAAAACTTAATAAAAATTAGCCATAAATAATAATATAACTATGATCCAGTGCAAAAAGATTGAAATATCAGATAAATATTAATAGATTATTTTTTCAAAAAAAATTTTAATTCTGTCTTATTAATTAAGTTATTAGGTATTGAGATTTTAAATGTAAAAATTTTTATTATATATCTTTTATAAAAAAAATTTTACTAATAATAAACTTTTTTGAATTATTATTTCTTAAATTTTACTATATAAACTTTGATTAAAATTAACATAAAAATTATATAATAAATAAATTTAATACTAAACTTTGAACCTTAATATCTTTTTTGAATTATTATTTCTTAAATTTTACTATATAAACTTTGATTAAAATTAATATAAAAATTATATAGTAAATAAATTTAATACTAAAATTTGAACCTTAATATCTTTATAATTATTGATTCAATTTTTATGAATTTTAGAATATATATTTATCAAATCTAAGACAATCTGCTTGCATAATTTGAAGTTCTAATATTGCAAATTGATAGTTATAATATTTAAAATGTCTTTTTTTTAAAAAAAAATAATTTTATTTTAGTTTTTTAGTAAAGTAATGCTTCATTTAAAATATAATAGAATAATTAAAAAAGTATAAAAAGTTAATTTAGATAATTTTTTATTTAATATAAAAAAATTATAAAGATTAATTAAAATTTGAATGATTTTATTAGAAGTAATTATTAATTTTATATTGGTGTACCAATCTTTTTGCACCGGACCATAATAATAAATAAAAATATAAAGACATAAACACGTCTTATATTTATATCAGTATGGAAAGCTTATCGTTACATGTCTAGATTAACATTAATTAATTAATAGGTGGGAATTTTTTCTCCATCCACAAAAACCAATTAGTTAAACCAATTTGTTCTTAGGACAAATTATGATTCAATTATTTTTTGATGATTCCGCGCGTTTATATTGATTACATGTACAGAACATATCAATTCGCGTGGGAAATCAATAGTTGAGAATTTTCTTCCATTCCGCAAAAACAAAAGATTAATAATATAAAACAAAACGTCAAGAGATTAAGTCTCAATCGGGCGAAAAACCAAAACTTCAAGTTGGAATGGCGGAAAAAATGCTATGTTATGCATGTATTCCGACCAGAGTATTGGTTTAATACTTGAATATTCCCTAATATATTTCCCGACAAAATCGAGCCCTAATTAAAAAGAACGAGAAAAAATCTCAACTTTAAAATGCATGTGATTTTTATCGATACTTTATGTATTAAATGCAGAGTTATTATTTAAAAACCTTTTTTATTTTTGGGTCTGAAAATTATCTGTTCGATATTATAAAGGGATAGGTCATATGTTTATATCACCCCAGGATCATTATTAGTTCTCGCTAAAGAAATTGTTAAATGGATAATAAATCTGATTATACAGGGGAATGATAAAGGCATTTTAATTTAGAAATCAGCAATAATTATTATAGTGAAATTTTCTTGCTTGCTATTACTATCATTGATAGGAATTTTTCAAAGATGATTTTCAAAGTATTGAAAAAATTCTATTACTTTATTAATCCGTCCTAAGTTAACCTTATCTTTTTTTCGAGGTTAAAAAGTTTTAATAATGGCCTTCAAAAAATAATAATTAAGTCTAGTAACAAAAAATTGATTCATAGTTCTTTGTCGAAATGAAACCAAAGCAATACCCAAAGACATTTAGCGCACGTCGCACACGCTGCTGCCAAAAGCGAACTTGTAATTAGATAACACTGTGAACCAATTGTACATTCTGAGCCCAAAAATATCAAAACATACGCAACTAGCGCAAGTGCAGAGTTCAGAAACGTGTATATATCCCACGGGGTAGCACTCCGATATTCTTCCATCAAATTTACTATATCTTCTTTCCCTAAATAACCTCATTATCAAAAAATATCGTCATTTCCCTTTCTTAAATATTTTTGTAAAAAAATCGGCAATGAATTTAAGTAGTTTACCTATGAAAAGCAAGAACGAGTAAATTAATCCCCATTGAAAATCGTCGTCTTTTGCTCCAACATATAATGCATAACAACCAACCGAAACTCGTAGACCAATGTCAAAAGCGAGAAATATGTACAAAAATACTTTAGCCACAATCTTTTTTTCAAATTAAATATTAGTCTATAGAAAAATTATATTAAAAAAAAATCACGCATTAATTATCATTATGGAACTTACTATTATACATCCATGTTTCGCTAACATAAATATGGAACCACCCGCCAAGTGTAATGATAAAATAACTGAAAGAGCAAACACAGCTTTAAATCCTAAGTTTTCAATTGCCTCGAGAATTGGATTCGGAGGTAATGTCGTTAATATATATGGTTTTTGTATCGTTAAATCAAACCGACGAATTCCGATAGCCACTTCCTCCACGGAATCAACTTCGATATCTGTTGTTCTAATTCCTTATAATTATTATATACGAAAAGAAATCAAAAGTTTACGCAATAAATTTAACCATTTAATTTTTTATTTACCCATTTTCACTCACAATCTGCCCATTGTCGTCATCACTAACATCCATCAGTCCCACTTTTTTTTTTTGAATAAACAATAAACAAAATTTCACTAACGCTAAACTATTTAAATAAATACAATGCAAAATACCAGAATAATCTCACATTCTAACTATTCCAACCACTATGATATTATTGTGATAATAATAACCATAATAACGATAATAGTATGAGGTAGCCTTTTTTTGAATGTCAAATTTCTTTATTTAGAATTCCCCCCAATACAAACAAAAAATGTTTAGTTGATTTGAGTGATACAAAATAAAATACTTGTGCTTGTGATTGATTTGATCGCTGTTATTTTAGGTAATTACCCATCATCAAAATAAAATTACTAATTAACGTTAAACATGGTGGTGATGATTTTCTATATGTAGAATAAGTCTTGACCCATTGCGCGTGTTGATACATGCACATGTATCTGAGATTTTAAAGTATTACAATGATAAGGTAAACTTTAAATTTGTAACCCAGCAGAGATAGAGAAAAATGGTGACGTAGACGTTTAATTGCTTCCAAATATTTACTTACAATTGAAATATGCTTTAATTGAATTTTGACTAATCTTCAACGAAATATTTAATTTTTTTTCATTATAAAAAAGATGATTTTGCATATTTGGGAAATAGTATTATAAAAAACATTTCAATATTAAAAAGTTTATAATATTAAATGAGATTAACAATAAATGAGTCAATTAAATTAAACTAATAAGAAATTATATAAAACAGATTTAAGCCTTCTTTTCAAGAGCTCTCCACAGGAAGCTCATTGTATTAAATTTAGTAAAATTGTTGGAATAGTGACTACATCATCTCCTATTTAATTTGTCCGAAATAATTGATACAACGTCAGATGTTATATTTTTTAGTTAAGCACCAGTCTTTGATGGAAACAAGATTTCACATCAGTCCTAATGATGATGTAGGACTCAAAGGTTGTTATAATTAAAGAATTCTTTAGCAGAAGACCGAATGATTTACACGGGGCGGAATTCACTATGATCAGGGGTCGTTTCGTTCGACGGCATGGAAAATACATCCGGTATTTGCAAAATGTGAAGACAAATTTGATGATCCTAAAGGTCTTCTATGAAACTTTACGAAGATTGATTGCCAAAGGTAAATGAGGCCAATTATCAAATAATTTTTAAAAACCTTTTTTAAAATACAACAGGACTTATTGAGACTGCTTAACGAAAACAAATTTGCAATAGAAGTTATTGGAATTAGTTCTTGTACGCAAGGTTAAAAAAATACCTTTTAATTTTAATTTAATTTTATGATATTTTTTAATAATTTTTAACTATCTTACGGATTTACGGCAAATACTATACAATTTCTCCTTTCTGGGTGACATGTTGTTCAACATCTGGTGATCCACACCCTTTCTCGGGACCCGTCCAATCTCCTAAGAGTGAACCCACAAGAAAATTTACCCCAAGGTAAAACAAACCGTTCCTTCCAATTGCCCATCTGCCATCAGGAAACAACCAGAAACCACATTTGGTTCACAAGAAACTTTGCATTCGGGCAAAGCAAACAGCCTTAATTCTATGCTGTCCGCCGTTGGGTACAACCGTGCTTTTCTGTCCTTCATGGAACTCCCCATGCGCAAGGAGATGGTAAACACTCTCCCTCATAAAAGCCGTCATGTACTTTCCTATCCTTGGAACATCAGGCTTCTCAGGATACCCCCGTCAAAACAAAGATAGCAAATGCTCCATCACCACATTCACCCATAAAGCCGACTGAGAAAACTAATGCGCATTTGCTTATCACGTTGCTGGGAACATCTGATTCATTTTCAGTAGCTTGTGAGTCTTAAAGAAATCAAAAAATTTGCCTAACGATCATAGTTACTATACAAATTGTATATTTGATATAGATGCTCCCATCTTTTATTCTTTCACATTTGATTCATTCCCGGTGGCTTGGGAGTCTTAAAGACATCAGATTGTATATCAATATAGATTCTACCATCTTTCATTTCTTATCGTTATCCCAATAAGTACTAATAATAAAGTTTTACCGTGCGTTTGCACAATAGATGTTACCTTTATTCTCCTAGTTAATTGAAATTTAACTTTCATTTCATGAAGATGAGAAAATAAAGAAAAATTAGTTTATTTTTAATATTACACATCATTTTTTTCTGAAGACAAGATAAAATACTTGAAGAAAAGTCAATAACGATATAAACAAATAATGGGTGACAAAATAGAAAATAGCATAGCAAGTTAGAAAAACAATGTTGATATTGTCACGTGACCTAACTATGTGACGTCTTCATGAAGCTGGAGAAATATGCTAATGAAATTTCAAAACCTCTTCTTACAGAAAATCACCAGATAAAATGGTTGCGATTGGTGAAGGAATCTCAAGATTTAAATTTGAAACAAGTTATTTTTATGAACAAAACTATCTTTCAACTATTCCCATCAAAAAAAGGGTTTGCAGTTTGTTGAAAGGAAAGTATTGGCATCAATCAAAGGTCCAAGTGTGGGGATCTTCAGGATTCGATGAGTTGGTGCGCTTTCAATGGAACCTTGATGTCAATTTTTATGTGTGAGATCTACAAGATAGATCTTCTGCCTGCCAACTCCAAGTTTTTTGGCGAGAGTATTTAGATTGGTTCTTACAGGAAAGCAGGACATGAATCCAAGGATCATTCAAAAATTGAAGAGGCTAAATTGTATTTTGCAATGTATGCAATCATTAGCGTCAATTCCGGCAGAAATTATAAAGTTGTTCCGGATCGAACATTGTTGAAATGAAATTGCAGTATGTCACTTATGAAATGGAATACGGAAAAAAATTACGAGACGATAATCAAAAGTGGTTTGTGTTTATGTGTAAATTTATTAGTTTAACCATTACTTTTGTCAAAATTTATTTTCGTTTGAATAAATATATTAGTATATTAAAGAAATTTACAATATTACGGAAAAGCATGATATATTTTTGTTTTATGTGATCGAATATACAGTATATACAATGGATTCCAGTTATGATACATGTACAAGACTTTTAGGAAAATTTATCAAATTTGACAAATCGCATATACAGTTACTCGCACATGAATACGAAAAATGTGATAAGAATAATATATCTTTTCTTTGAAGAATTATTCGCGGCTAGAATGTAACTGAAATTTATTTATCAAATAATTTAGAGGGATGACAAATATTACATAACTTGGAGACTAGTGATATCTTACGTGCCAAAAATTAGAAAATTTAAAACTATCTTACGTGGAAGAAGGGTCGCTCTATAATACATGATATTACTATTACACAACCCTACAATATATTACCGAAATGCAAAAGAAATAGTAAAACAAAGTAAAAAATTGGATTTTTCACTAAATATTTTTTGTGTTATCATTAGAATAAATATATTTTTTCCAGAATATTGTCATGTTATATTTATCTTGCTTGATTTCTTTCGCTTGATTTCTTTCTTCAGTATAATGATGCTTTATAAATGCCTTTTTATAGATGTTCAACATTGGTAAATTTTTCAAAAAGAGATCCATTGGAAATGCCTTCTGATTTTTATGCATTCATTTATTAGACTTCGATATCCTTGTTTTTGCTAGATAATTCAGCTTTATAAAGTTGATAGTGACATTCATTGCTACGATCGTTTTCTTGAGAACGTGTGCATTTACTACAATTTGTAGTTTTTCTTGTAAGTCACTCGTATTCTCTTTAATTTCTTTCATCTAACTCGTCAAAGAATAGTAATAAATTAAAGAAATCAATAAAAAAGCATATCAATAACAATAATAATACCTTCATTAGCTTCGCTTTCGTTTGATACACATAAATTGAAGTTTGCTGATTTGGTATCGATATCTATATTTTTATATTCCAAATGAAGGTAAAATCACTATTACCATGTAATATATATATATATACAATATATTAATAACACTTGTTTTTCACAACATTTAATTAACACTTGTAGAAACTAAATATTTGATATTAAATCAATCTGACATGTTATTTTGATTGTGATATAAAAATAAAGATTGATATTAATTTTGAAGTAAACATTCGACTGGTGTAAATTGCATTTTAGTGGATTTGTTGTTTTTTGTTTTTGTTCGTAGAATGCTTTCTTGTAATTTCATCTCCTCGTCAAGCTCTTTGCATTTTCAGTACTACATAGAGATGTGCGCCTATGCGCATAGTTACTAAACGATAAACATCTACATCTTTATTGTTGTACATATTTTATCATTATGGCTTCTCGAAGTTCTATATGAGAACATTTTAATCAAATTGGTATTACAAACTATATTTGTAAAGGTAGGCTTTATTGGGAATATAGCTTAAAGTTTTGAGGGTGAAGACTGAATTATTTATAAAGGTAAAGGGAATTATGATTATTCTAAATTTTTCCTAGTGCCAATACTTATGAGTATTGTATTAACACAAGGCAAAAACAAAAATAAATAATGAAGAGTGTGATCATGAAAATATAACAAAAGGGAAGGTACCTATAACTAAAATAACAAAAACTATAAACTATAGATTTAGTATGCTGACTAAATCCTCTAACAGTATCTTTTCTACTATTAGATAAATAAAAGGTATATACCAAAAATAATCAAAGCTTTTATATATAGAAACGCTTACAAGAATCTCATAAATCAAAATATAATATACTTGGCTTATTTTAAGTGAAAGGTATCCACTACCTATATTTTTCAGGCAAGGAAAAAGTATAATTAACCAGAATATAATCTATTATAATAGAAAAGGTAAATGAAAGCAAATATCAAAGTAAAAGAAACAAAGATAATTATAGGATAATTATAATTCAAATAGTTTTTAAGTACAAAAGAATCTATTATAATAGAAAAGGTAAATGAAAGCAAATATCAAA